GGCACCTTTTTCATTCCAATTCAAGCACTGCCCTCGAGGTAATTTATAAACACACGCAAAAAAGAAAATAAATCTAGACCGCAGAATAATTAAACAAGCGAGTGCCTGTTTTTCCTGGCCAAGGTCAGGGTCCTTGAACACAACACGAGCCTAACGTGTCATCACGTGGTATATGTCTCGTCTGACAGGGGTGTAGTTCTAACGGAGAGCACCAGAACGCGGCTCCGGGCCGGGACTTCACAAATTGCAGTACCCATAAGGAGCTGTACACATGCCGCAGTTTTTGCGTGGCTGTGTCTTTAGTTGAAAGCCCAGTGGCGATCTGTTCATCTGTCACACTGATCATAAAGTCAATAACTTTGTTGTTATTCGCATCTGGTTAGCTAGCTATGCTAACGAATATAAGAAGCTTTTTCTACAACCAGTGAGGTAAAGGCACATCTTTATATGATCATTATAGTTATAAAACAATAAGAGAATAAAGTAAACAGGTATAAAATACTATATTACAGTAAAAAAAAGTTATTATTAAACAAGAATACAGTTTGAAAGGAGAGTGATTTGTAAAATATCCATAAAAAAAAAAATCTGCTTACAGTTCTGTTTCATCTGGGTGTTGAGAGATGTATCCATAGATCTATTAATTTTACTCTCAAAGTGCACCACATTGATGCTTTTAACTTCAACATTAAAAACATTTTTTCCTGGTGGTGCATGCCCCCAAACCCCCCTAGATGAGGTTAAATCTCCCCCCCACTTAAATTATGTCCACATGGATATGAAACTAAATACATTTGCACACATCTTGTGTCCATATATTTCTGTTTTGGTGGTCATGCCACAGTGCATGCATGCGCGGGTCATGGTCAAATATCTGGATTAAGAGGTTGCTTTTTCTTTGCACAGCATGAAAGAAAGGCGAAATCAATGGGCTGTGATTTTAGTTTTTTAAGCAGAGGTTGAGTTCAATAATTTGTACGGCCCTCGAAGGATGTTGTAAAAATTGAAATGGCCCTTGAGAGGAAAAAGGTTCCCCACCCCTGGTGTAAAGCATGGTGTAAAGCCAGCCCACATTTCAGATATGACATTATATCGGACGCAAATCTGGATCAGCTCCGTTGTAGCCCCGTTTTTAGAGATTTGGGTACGGAGGAAAAGAGAGAGGGTTTTATTTTCTGACACTTTGTGAGTCCCCTGACACACCGGGGACACATATTTATGTATACAATACATAAAAAAGTGCATTTTGCATGATAGGAGACCTTCAAATGGCTGACACACAGTGTGGTAGGTCAAAGTCAACACATTTCAACTGAGTCAGGCTGACTGTGGTAGGTTGGCTCTGAACAAATGAAAGATGTTTTGCCTCTTGAGGGAAACAACCGGGTAGGTCGAGTAGAACTGAAAGCAGCAGAAAAGGACCACACAGACTCCCAAAGCACTGATGCTCGCAATGCTATGACAAGGTGTTGATCCATAAGTCTAATGTTTTTCATTAGTTCCATTTTACACCTACTCTCACCTAAAGAAATATGCTATGGTAGATCTACACCTGCCTCTGTGACTCTCTTAGTTGTATCCTCCACTTTCTTTAGATAATCAGGAATTCATTGTACAGAATGAGATAGGCCAAACAAATGGCATACAATTGTTTTAAGATACTTATGCTGGAATTCCCAAAAAGTTAAAATGTTCATTATGCCCATATGCATTATTTACCTGAATGAAAGTTGCTTCTTATCCAATGCTTTAGTTTATAACACCTGCAAAACTAATAACATAAGCCTCCGTTGCATTTTGTTTTTAGTGCTACTTTGCAAATGTGAGCGTGAAACAAGATAATGAACACATGAGCATTAAACTAGCTTAACATAAGCATGTTAGCATTGCCATTGTGGACATATTAGCATGCTTAAATTAGCATTCAGCCTAAGGACAGCCTCAAGCATGGAAAACACATTCATTCATTATGTATACTGACTACTGAGTTTAACATTTTGTCATTGCTTTTACCGCACAGGCAATATGTGCATGTGAAATCACTTTTTTACTTTAACAGTTATCATTGACCATTTTTCACAACATGTGTTTGGCGCTCTCCAAAGGGCATATAGCCAGGCTGTCGTTTTGGGAAAAAATGGCAAACCACCTATTCTGCCATTTAGGTCTGCAAACAAGGGCTAAAACAGTTGCCTAGTAGAGATTAAATGCCATACCATGGTGGGACAAATATCCTTTGCAAAGAATATGTAGGCCTACTGGATGTTAAAATGAAATACTGTATCATTTGGATTTGGCTGCAGTATGCTGTGCTTTGATGCTAACTGGTTTGGGTTCCGGTTGAAGAAGTAACTTACCTTAATGTCAGTTCCAAACCCTAATGGCAGTGAGGTTTCTGAAAGTAGAACTTTATACTTTAGTGGTGCCGGCCTTGTGGTATCTCGTCACAACACCGGATTTAATAAATAACACTGCTTGGTGAGCAATGTGGTGGTTGCTAGAAGCAGACCACACAGAGGATGAAGCAGCTGATGAATTACAGGTACTTACTGTGACATGCTGCGGATTCTCGTGTCAGGCGGTCTCAGGCTATGCCACCCTCTCAGTGTGCATCTGTGTGCAGTGGCCCTGTGTGATATTTTTGGTTGTGTGACTCACCCTCAACATTACAGCAGAACTGGATGCCCTGGCTCAGTGGTTAATTACATAAATAGTCCTGTTTCAACAACACTGCGCAATAATGGATACAGGCATTGGTACCTTCTTATAGTAGAAAATAATGTGAATAAAGAGCAGTTCTGTATGCATCTCTTTAAATGTATGAGTCATTGATTCGGTCGTCTTTTGACTGTAAAATATCTTTATTCGACCTTCTCAAAATGTGTTTCAATAACATCATGGTGACTTGGAATGCTATTCACAAATAGGAATTATACTTTATATTTTATTAATCAAAATCAGCACGTCATCATAATCCATGAAAAGCAACAAGCCTCTTTCAGAATGTCCACTTGTTGACGATCAAGCAACTTTTATAAATATACTTTTTATACATTTTTGGGGTATTGACATTTTCAACAAGAATGTTATCGGAGATGTTAAGTCTGATGTGACAGAATAACAATCATCATACCAAAATACACAGAAAGTAAACCATAAGAGAAAGTAAACCATAAGAGAACGGAACGATTCTGTAGTTAAGACATAAAACAAAGATCTCATCAGAAGAACTTGACAATATATCATTCTTTTGTAATACAAAACCAAAACTGAATATTTCTTTTTTTTCATGTTAACACGTGATCGTTGATGGTATTTTGGCAACATTTGCTTTTCAGAAGTTAACAGAAATCCAACTATTATCATAACATAAGTCACTGGACAGTGTTCATCTTTTCCCCCCGGCCCAGCCCACCCCCAACAATTCCTTAATACATGATATTGCATGATAAAAACCTTAATGAAAATCATTGATATATGAATGACATTTACATAGTTAACAAACTATTTGTTTGCTGCTAGAGATTCAAAATGACTTCTCATCAACTCAGTGTCCTTTTTATTAGCTTTTCATTGTTTTTCATAAATGATTCTGTAATTTGAGATTGAGGTGAATTCAGCTTTGGAGTCCAATCTAACTGAAAATAAAGGAAAATCAAATGTTTTTAACTCTACATATCAAAAAGTCTCCCTGATCAAGTTAAATAACAAGGGAGAAAACGACATTCTAAATGTTTTCTTCTAAATTGCTCGACTTGAAACTGAATTGACCTCAAATCTGCTTGACAACCATCTATCTTTAGAGCTCAGTCTGAGTTTGTAGTCTTTAGTAGAAAATGACTACAGTTTCACTACTTGTTTTGCTGGTTCTGCACCACTTCTGAATTAAATCAAGAGTTCTTATAGGCACCTGGAGTAGTACAAATATGTGCTCATCAGGGTTAAGGTATTGTCAGTTCCTTGTTAAGGTATTTTCAGTTCATCCTCAAGTCCTCGGGAACAGAGTACCCGGAGAGGACACCAGACCAATGATCACACAGGTAATGATGCTTGGAAGCCTGATGCGACCGCTCAGTCCTCAGGGCATTTTTCTTTGTGATTTCCGTTTTCTTAGATTTCTCTAGGTCCAGGGCCCATGAAGGAATTCCCATATAAGGGATGCACACTATAGTAGATGTCTAAAATCACATTATATACTATGACAGACATTACCACCATGTATGCCATTAAATAGTAAAAAAAAAACACCATGCTGATGTTCAGCAGGTGCACAGATTTCTCAAATAATCATGTACATATCAAAACATATACTTCTCACAATACCAAATGGATGAAGTCTATAGATACCATTTCAGATGTTGCTCTAATGCTTGTGAAATAAACTTTGTGAATGAGGCCCCACCACTCCTACTCTAAGATGATTGGTAGATGTATGCTAAGGTCTGTGCAGCCTGCATGGACAGCATCATTAGAATCAGCATGAGGCCAGCTTGGAAACCCAGAGTAGTACCATCATGTATCAAACTGAAACTTAACTAACAAGGGAGGCTGTGGAGTAATGTTTCGTTTGGCCAATGACCGTAGACTAAAAAACGCTAGAGTCCAACTCGTTAGTAGTTAGACGCTCGTGATTCGTCAACTGGGGGGGGGGGGGGGGCGGGGGGTAGGTGTCGTGAATTGTTGTTGCGGAAAGAGAGGGGTTTTAGGTTGCCATAAGGCTGTTGACGGTCTTATTATACATCCATTGGTTGGTTTTATGGTTTTGTGGCACATTTGTACAGGGTGGAGAGGTGGAGTGAGGGAGAGAGAGAGAGGTTGAGCGATGGAGAGAAAGGGAGAGAGAGAGAGAGAGAGAGAGAGAGAGAGAGAGAGAGAGAGAGAGAGAGAGAGAGAGAGAGAGAGAGAGAGAGAGAGAGAGAGAGATTGAGCGAGGGAGAGAGCGTGTGCAGCGGTCTGCTTGCGCACAGAGCAGGAGTTTGTGAGAGAGCCGGCTTGAGAGTCAATTTCTCTTCAAAATATAATTGATTGCCAGCCTCCCTTGTCCCTGGCTGGCTTGCTAGCTCGTTGGTAATGTAACTGATGTCTTCTAATGTGCCTGCATCTGGCGCTGAGTTGCCATATTCCTTTTGTGAGCTCTTTTTGTTCGTGAACCACTTCCTGATATCCATTGTTGCAGATAAATATAAATGATAATAGCCAAACTAACCTAGCAAGAGTAAACTGACAGGCTGCTGTGCCGCATCTCACTTTAAAAAACACACACGACTCAACCCAGCGAAAAACCAGTCTCGTGCGAAGATTTTCACTCAGAATTTCATTCAGAATTTCCTAGCAAAAGAAAAAAATGATATTAAAATAATTTTTCAACATAGTTTAATACAAAAATAAATATTAGGACAAAGCCCTACAAATAACAACGATAAACATAATAATACAAAAATGTAAATGTTTTATTCCGCCCTGATTAAAACAGCGGGCCCAAATCCTGGATAGGCTTTGGCCCGCCCATGACGCCGGGTCTGGATGCACTAATAATTTATACAGGCCAAAATCTGGCTGGAATAAATATTTTACTTTAAATCAACCCATTTAGCAGATCTCCCTTGAAAAAGAGATCAATGATCTCAAGGGATACACCTGGGTAAATAAAGGCTTGAAATGAAATGAAATTACATATTTTTACAGAAAGAAAATCCATTGGTTGTTTGTAGCAACTTATAATAACCCATATTTGTGTATTTTCATAGGCGCCAGGCACTAGTTTTTGTTATTATGAGAGGGCAAATTAGGATGTCAGAAAGCGAAGTAAAGGAGTGGGTGGATGATTGGGTCCCCCAGAAGACCAAATATCAACATTAAATGTCTTTATCTAAATCACTTAAGTAACGTGACAGACATATGTAAGGTAAATTATATAAGTAGGCTCCGTAACCTACATTCTGTATAAAACCCTAATTATTCTAACCCTAATCCTAATCCTAACCCTAATCCCTACAGAAAAAAGGATATTTTCCAAAACATAACGTATTTTTACCTAAACCTAACCAAACTGTGACATGCTGGTGTCCTGCCATCGGTGGGCTAAATTAGGGGAAATCCTTTAGGGTTAGGGAGTTTGAAAAAACATCCTATGTGATGGTATGGGTTGGAGGACTCGTTGGTATTACATGTAAAATCAAATCGTTCAGATGAACTGCCAATTGTTTTATATAAATAATGATTCCATCAGATTTCTGAAGATGAATACTTTTAATAGTGCATCCCTAACAAATTGTAACATGAATTACAGTTTAATATATATGCAGTCCAATTCCTAATTGGATTGTAATTTCAATGTGATGTTGCCCGTTAGAAATAAACTGCTGCAGATTACCTTTGTGTGATTGAATTGTTCATTGAAATGGATTAAATTACCTCTCAGGGCTTACTCTATGATTGTGTGACCCCTGTTCTCCCCCCCCACCCCCCCAACTGGGCAACGCATTCCAATTTCTCATATGAAACAATAAACTGTCTGCTTTTATGACACAAGTAATTTCTGTGGGGACTCAACACTGGTTTGGTTCTGCAGGAGGGTCAGTTACAGTGAAATACTGTTTTGAGAGCGATAAGAGCTCTGGACTCCAGCCAACTGTCGTAATGTGCAATTGCAGCCTGTCACATGTTCAACTCATACTTGATATCATGACAATCGGTGTCATTGACACAGGCAATTGCCTACAGAGGCATCATCAACTGTGCTCATAGTTGACATGTTGACTTACAGACCTCATAGCGGCAGCGGCAAACAGAGTAAAGTATCTCCTTGCTGGAAAGAAGCATTTGCTATTTTTTTGTATACGAAGTAGCGTAACTTCCTGGTTATTACAGTAGTTCTCCCATTAGCTGTGCCAAGCCAATCACTTCTGTGTTGTCTTGTTTGTCTGTAGAGTTTACAACCTTTTTGTTGCTGTTGTAGCAGGGACAAATATTTCAGCGCATTATTCAACTCATATGTTTTGATCACGAGCACTGATAGGGATGGTGTTGATTGTGGTGCTACATCATTGTACATTGTAATTCTTTGAGCAAATATAATCTTGGTATTATTGTTGGGATGTCACAATGCTACATAAATAATACTTTTTTGATATGTCTATGACTTTATTTTCTGTTATGGTATTAGTACTGTAAAACATGCTGGCTATTTTATAGACTAATTCCATTATTATTGGACTTAATGGGCCTCATAAAAGAACAAAAGAACAGTTCGAACTGATTCATTTAATATTACAAATTAATTCATGAATTCTATGTCAGGTACAGTCACAAACAGATACTATGCATCCTGCACAGGGAGAAGAAAAACTCTTATGAATTTGTTCAAGACATTTTGCTGAGAGGATGCCATAAACCTATTTTGTTGAGAAAGTTGAGTGTTAAATGCACTGTACAACTTGGTTTAATTTCATCTTTTTAGTTTATCCCATTGTCTTTAGCTGTATTTTTTTTATCTTACAGAATCCTGTACACTTGGTGTCTGTATTAAGATTGGGTGATATCCTGATCATTGGGGATAAGAGAAGAAAAGGGCAGAAGAAAAGAGAGGGAAAGAAACAGATGTAGTAAAGAGAAGAGAATAGGAATGAAGTTGTCCAGAGCCATTGTTGCCCTCAGTGAAGACGTTGTACTCCATACCTCGGCTCTCTTCTGTCCCGCACTTCAATCTGAAGAAAACAAAAACAAGACAAATAGTGAGTCAGAGCCCAAAACACTTTAAAGGGGCCCTATTTTGGGGGAGTTTTCCCTTTTTGTAGTGTTTGTGTTCATGTAAATGGCCTGCAGAGGCTAAAATCCCAAAGCTCTCTCCACACATCCCCTTCTGCAAGGAGCACCTCCAATGGAGTCCTTTGTTGACGCTGTGACATTATGCCATCACTATATAACACTCACACTTTTATTGGCTACCTTCCAATATATAGTATGTGATATTTCCCACACATCTCTTGGTTAAATAATCACAACAGAGCCGGCCAGCTAACTAATCAGAGCAGACTGGGCTCTGGTTTCAGACAGAGGGTGAAAAGAGCTAGGTGCTGCAGCACAGGCAGTATGAAAAAAATAAAGAGCTTTTGGAACATCATAAATCAGGTAAACATTTCAAAGTAGGAGCACAGATGGCATTATAGGGACCCTTTTGAACCTATTTTTAAATAACCAATGACAATATCCCTGTTGGGTGCCTTAAGGATCTTTCAGATAAAAGGTGACACTACTGTGCACTACTGTGCACTGAAATCCATTCCCAATGGCTTGTGCCACGCAACAACTATTTTTGCTCAGCAAAGCGCTGTGACTAATACCCATGAGGCCATTACAAACAAGTCAGACAAAACAATTATGAAGAAATTCACTTATGTGTTCTATTCCTGAACTGTACAACACAAGGTTTGCCCTGTATTGAGACATCGAGGAAAGCCCTGTCTTGGAAACACATTTCTGACTGAGTAGGCATACAGGGTTAGGTACTCTATCAGGTGTGTTTTAACAGATAGCTTGTTGCTGGCAACAACAAAATGACATTGATCGCTAGAAGTTTTGTAAACTCGGCCTTTTCCTTCTCTTCCCCAACTTCTCCATATACCTATTCAGATGAGCGCTGAACTAACTGAAAAGCTAGCACAAGTCACGTTGTGTCTGAAAGGGGCTTTATAGATGGTAAAGCTGCTGTTCCATTTATTTCTATGTAGGCTACAGATAGGGATGGGTATCGTTAAGGTTTTAACGGTACTACTACTTTTATCGATACCGCTTATCGATCCGGTCTTTTAACTGTACTTTTATCGGTTCTTTTGGAGAAGAAAAATTAGGTAAACTAACTAAACAAATTGTGAACAAAACTAATATTGCTTTTTATTTAAATTAAATAAATAATATTTCACATCAAAAGAAACAACAATGTTTTAACAATTCGTATTAAATAATCTGATGACAGAACTGTAAACAGAATAGCTGAAACTTTAACAAACTAAATAACTCAGTTTCCTCTAATCATTAACCCATGTTTGTATAATTGAGTTAACTCCGTGTGTTGCTGCTAGCATACATAACACCTGACGTGGAAACGTTACTCGTGGATGGGGCTACAGAGCTGCTAGAAAGACAGTCGAAAACGGTGCATTCCTCCGTCTGAATGTGGAGCACTTTTGCTAAATATTTAGACAAATTGCTCGTGTTACCGCCCTTACATGCTAAACTCTTATTGCACTTTTGGTAACGAGCATCGAGACGGGTAAAGTTGAACCACACCTCAGAGCGCGTTCTCTCCGCCATCTCCTCCATGTGTGTGTGTTTCTACATGTAGCAGCCGCGTGTGTTTAAACTGCCCCGCCCCCTCGCACACAGGCGGGAGAGAGAGATCTCTCGTCTGGATTGAAAAGATCGAAAATACTCACAATAATCATAGACGCATTTTGCAGTCTTTTTGCATATTAGAAACGGAGTTGGTGACACTAAAACTGCAATATAATGTTTGTGTAGCAATAATACATAGTCTATGACATATTTTTTATATTTTTTAGACCGATAACGTTGGAGCTTAACGGTACCACGGTCTTTAATAATTTAGCCCCGGGGCCCGTTTAATACCGGGGCTCGGTACCCATCCCTAGCTACAGAAAAGGTGACATATACTGTACATTAACAACACATTTGCAAACTTTAAAAAAGGTAAGGAATAAGTCAGATCACAATAATAGTATTGAAAACACGATTAACCTGTTAAGCCCGAGAGCCCGAGGTTTTTTTCGTCACGAAACTGTGTCTCAAGGCTTCTTAACATTTAACCTGTTAAGCACTGAGCCTGTTTTTCAGGTCTCAGGCTCGAAAATGACATTCCCAGAACAAAGGACCATATCTTCCCTTCTAAAAGGGGAAAATTAATAATCTTTTTTCCCAAAGTAATGATAAAGCTGTGAGTTGGATGTAGAAAAGTCAGAATCAATATAGATGTTTTTTATTTTAAAGAAAATTAAGATTGAACATAGTAAAAAACTGTAAATGATAGTGTCCGTCCAACAATTATTTTCTACTTATAGTGAAAACTAACCTTGGATGATGGTAAGGTAGACTAAAAGCTTTAGGAATCCAAACTACAACATATAATAAGTACCCTGTATTAAGATTGATGCAAAACAAGTGACATTTGACCTTTTTAGAGAGGTTTAGCAAAACAAACTCCACCTCTGAGGTGATTTGGGTGGAAATGGCCGTTTTTACCGTTTCTCTGGAACCCATATGTCGATTTTGGTGATTGACATCTATTTTTGACCGTTAGAGCCAATATAATTGAAGGGAAATTTCCACATACACCTTACCATTGAGAAATGAGAGCTATGCGCATGCAGTTTTGCATGAGAGCGAACCTATCTTTCGCTCTGACATCTGGAAACGGAAAAGCAGTTTTATTGCTTATGGATTATCAGAAATAATTTCAAAGGGACACAGACACATTGGATTAACCTATGGATTAACTTCAGCAGCGTTTTTATCGTTGTAATGCCATTAAGGACCACTTTTGACCAGACAACGACAAAGGTGAGCCATGTTGCCGTTTTTAGCTACCTAGCGCCACATGTTTTGATGTCTGTTCTTGTTAATATATTCGCGAGTTCTTATCATGGAGTGATGATGTATGTACCGATCGATTCTGTGTCATCTCACAATGCGAATCGATGGGTTGGGCGTGCAGCTACGATAAGTAATAAGGGTGTTATGAGTGAGTTTCTGTGCAGTAATGCATTAGCATTTTTTCGCTCGTCGCTAATTCATAGGCTCAGCGCTAGCTTTGTGGGTTTAAAAAAAAAAAAGCGGTGGTTAACAGGTTAAAAACCTATTAATGTGTCATACCCGATTAACGGGAAGAAACTCAGCTAACTGACAATACGAACCGTTTTTACCGAAACAAAACACAAGTCTCACAAGAAGCGTCTAAATGAGCCCTGAGTGAAAGAATTATACGCACTTAGCACAGAACTCACGGTAAAAATACCTTTATTACTTATTGTAACTGCACATACAATAAATCAATTAGCAAGCTGGGATTCCACAGATTCCAGAAATAATTATCATCACTGAGCGATCAGAACTTGCGACAGGGGAAGCGAAAGCAGACATCACAACATGTAGCATTACGGAGCTTTCACGGGACATCGTTTTACCTTAGCTGTTATTCTGATCAAAACTCGTGTTCAATGGCATTACAACGATAAAAACGCTGCTGAAGGTTAATCCACAGGTTAATCCAATGTGTCTGTGTCACTTTGAAATGATTACTGATAATCCATCTTTCCATTTTTATGTCAATAACGGAGTTTTCTTATTAGCTGCTATGATAGCCACCAGAGTGTATCGCAGCTTCCGGTTCCGGGGCATTCTGGCAACGCATCACTCTATTCACCAATGAGTAATGTTTAGATGGATTTTAGGAACTTCCCCTCGATTCAATTGGCTCTAATGGTTTAAAAGAGATGTCAATCATCAAAATCAAACCAGGGGGGCCAGAGTTATGGAAAATGCACCCAAATCACCCCAGAAGTGGGTTTCTTTTTCTAAATCTCTCTAAAAAGGTCAAATGTCACTTGTTTTGCATCAATCTTGATACAGGGTACTTATTATATGTTGTAGTTTGGATTCCTAAAGCTTTTAGTCTACTATCCCATCATTCAAGGGTTGTTTTCAATAAGTAATGTTTTTTTTTTGGAAGGACACAATCATTTACAGTTTTTTACTGTTCAATCTGAATTTACTTTAAAATAAAAAAAAACTATATTGATTCTGACTTTTCCACATCCAACTCACAGGTTTATCATTGCTTTGAGAACAAAATGTGTTCTGGGAATGTCATTTTCGAGCCTGATTCCTGAAAAACAGGCTCAGGGCTTAACAGGTTAAATGTGCAATTATGTCATAGTTAGGATGTGATGACAACAGCTCAATGATACTGGTTGTCATAGTAACAGAGCAGTCTTTCCTGGTCAAGCTTTCAAGGTGCACATATAAGTCAGAAAGAGCAGGAACATTTACGAAGTAAAAGCAGAATAAAGCATAATGTCCTCTGAGGTGTTTTGTCCCCAAAACAAAAATGTGCGCTGTCAAAACGCTCCAAAGCTAATGAGGCTCTACAAAAGCATATTCCTCCAACATGAAAAATGTATTAAGCAAAAGTGAACTTACCCTTGACACAGCAAAATCTGCAACGACAAAAGAGAAGAAATGTTTTGACATAAACACAGTGAGGCAAGAGCAGAAAAAGTGCATATGTGTGTAAAACATGAATCTGCTTGTGTAAGTATGAGTAAAGTCATCACTAAAACACTCATTTTCAACTTCTCTAGCTTTAGTCCATAGTTTTAATCTCTTTCATGTGTTTTACGTGTTTGGTTCATTTTATATTTTTACAGTATATTTGAAGAAATCCACACATTTGTTCCAATTATTGACCTAATTCAGCTTTCATGGACTGTCCACAGGTTTTCCCGTAGTTTTGTTGATATAGAAACATTTACTTCTATCTTAAGAAATGTGAGCGAAACACAAGATGCTTTAGCTGTGTAAAATCACTGAGACTGTCAATGAGGTTAATCAGATAAAAACAGAAAAGACACGCCCACGCTCTGGAATATCTCCAGTTACCATGGAAACCATCAGGGAGATAGACCGTCGGAGAACCGAGACATCTTATGTCACTTTTCTCCATCTCACTCCCCCTCGCCTTTACTCTATCCGTCTGTACATCTCTCAGTCTATTTTGTCTTATGTCAAATATCTCTTTCACTCTCTTTGCTGTTGCTCGTTGGGTTTATTGAGTCAAATCAAACACATAATCCTTATGTAAGAAGACCTTTTGTTGTTTGCCATTGTATCTGTTACTCTTGCCCGTCCACTACCTTCTTTTAGCATTCCTTTCTTCCTCCTTCTCTTCTTCTCTTTTCATATAGCTGAAACAATGCAATTGAAGGGCCCTGATGCAACATCATGCAAACTGTCAGAAACCCTCTGGAGGACGTCCTCCCGCTCTTGAAAACAGCACCGAAAGCAATTTGGTTGGAGTTACTGAGGTCAGGTTGGAGTGCAGTCATTGCAACTGGTGTTCCTGTTAATGGGCTCACAGTTAAGACCTACAAATAAAATGAAGATTGACCAGGCATTGAGTTGTTTTTCCTGTGATCTTTTTTTCCCTTTCTGATTTAATAATCAGGTTTATGCATCGCATTGTCAATCTCACCTGGACAAATACGGCGGCTTGGTCTGAACCATTATTCTCCATGTACCAATATAGCGTCAGTTTTGCATTTGGATCGCTGCATCTAGTTGCCTATAGCAATTATAAATGAAAGGAGACAGTCATTGGATGTATTATAAAGAACAGCAAAGTCAGCGAAGGGATGAGGTCGGGGTGGATTGATGTCCTTCACTTCAATTTACGTATGTATTTTCAATTGTTTATTTATTCGGCTAGGTAATGCGGTTTTGCAGGATTAAATAACGTCATCTCAAAACCCTTGAAATTGCCTTTTTTTTTTACATAATGGACCTCTGTGTTGCTATGTTTTTTCTAGCAAGTATCGCAACAAAGTTCTAACCTACAATACAAGAAAAATGCTGCCCACATTTTCACATCACCTGGATTGTTAATTTGTAAGATTGCAGATTTTTCGCCACTAACCTTTGTTGTCTATCTGCAAATCATCAAGATAGAAATCTGTCTGCCGGTTGCCAAGGACGAAGGCCAAGAAGGAGAGGATGAGGGCGTCCAGGATGCCCATGATGGCCAGCATATAGGCCCAGCGTACCGAGCAATCGCCCAGTGAGTATTTCCCGGCATGCTCCCCGCACATGTCCCGGATCACCTCGGCGTCCCATCCGTTGGGGAAGATCATGCAACCCAGCACCAGGCACACTCCTGCAGCGGGTCACAGAGAGGAGAGAAGCAGGGTTATAGTGGTTGGATATGTAGAGTAGAAGAGATTTTTAAAGTTTCAAACACCAGAGAAGATAGGAAGTTCAGTTGGTTAAAGGGAATAGGTGGATTTGGTGGCTGGATTTTTATAAACCAACAGCTTTAAAATGTTGCTTTCATTAAGTATTCTGATGCCATTACATTCCAGAGGTCATGAGTATTCAACTTCAACATGCCTAGGTTCTGTAAGCTGACACCAGTAGTGTGCAACCAATTGTTAACACATTTGGGCAGTGTGCTTTATTCAAGCAGCAGACTTCAGTCAAGTTTTCTCTCATGCCTTTTGACACTAAAGGGTCAGGACAGAACAGAATGAAAGGAAACAGCTCTCTGTCAGGTGTATATGGGGGTAAACAGTGAGACAGTAGAGAGATGGAATACATGTAAGTACTGTATAGATTCTCCCCCTGTAGACATCTAGTAGGCCTATGTGTCAGAATTTTAAAACAACATACACACAAACAAAAGTGAGTGCGCAAATAGCCACGCTGGAGAAGCTGTAGTACAAAGCCTCTCTAGGGAAATGCTTACATGCCATTTCGATACTACAACAACAAATGGTAATCTATACTTTACACCTCATTCATCAAAGTGAGCATCACTGTGGAGCTGATGGGGCCATTTGTACTTGCCCAACCAGCACTGTTTAAACAGCATTCAGCCTGTGCCTGAAGGGCTGTAAGTAAAGCACTGGCTCCACTGGGAGATGGGGAACACACATGGCAGACGTCATACTGAATCTCCATTCCAAACCAGACATGTCTTTTCCACGGGCAACATCACTTGTGATACACATAAAAAGGTCAGACAGATTTGGCTGAATTGGTGATTATCACGCTTCAGTTCAATAAACGTTCAAAGGATTTAACATCCTGATCTTCATTGGTGTGCAATTGTGAATGTTTAAGTGGCCATGTGTGTCTGTTTATGTTGGGCAGCATTCAGACACAGTTGTTCCTTTGTGGATCGAGGTGTACAGTAACACAGAGAGATCACTGGCTAGAATGTACTCAGAGGATTCTGCTAATCTCCATGCGAAATATGAAGCTGAATCTTTCTGGTGGCACCCAAGCCTAAAATCTTAACAACAAGTTTGGACACACAACCGATACATTCTGTTTTAGGTGAAAAAAACATTTCCCAAACTTAATGCAAAATTGCAAATAAATAGCTGATTTCACAAACAATGGATCGTACCTCATAGGGGAAGGCGATTCCAAATTACTCACATATAGTTACTCCAATATTCATCTATTTTTGTACACATTATGGGATTTGACAACGCAAACATGTTAAATTGGCTTTTACAAATTTGCCCTATTTTGAAAAATGTCAATTAGGGTTAGGGTTGGGGATTTGTTGTATTTTTAGCTGACTTTTTAAACTCCTCCTCGAGACTACATTTCCGTTTAACTCGCAATGGTTTAATTGCACTTTATGCGCACAAAATATATAAATTCAAACACTTTCAAAGGCTTATGTATTTTTACGTTTATTTTCCAAAACTTCTAGAGCCTGGATTTATTTTTTACCTCAAATTCCCAAACTATCAAGGGGTTCAAGGTTCAATTGGAACCATAGATCCCTTTTGAACTTTGTCATTGTTTTTCAGCATTAAAATGTGAATAGTACAGTACATACAATATTACACACAAGGTACATTAATGCGATGTGCTACTATTCAGGAGAAATACAGTTTTGTTTCATTGTCCTTTTCAGTATAGATCTTTGTGGGACTACACAATGTCATTAGTGAGCACAGTAAGCCCTTGGGGTAAACATGTATAAGCCAGCACTGGCAGGACAACAAATATGTCAAGGTTTTTACATAAGGGGACATTAGCTTGAGAGGGGTTGAAGGGGTTTATTGTTTTTGAGATTGTGTGGGTTATTGAACTACCAACAGTATACAAATATATTATAGTAAATAAATCCTATACCTGGAAATTACTCAGCATTTTCCAACTTCCCCTTTTTTTGTGTTTGTGGTTTGATGCCTGAAATATCTGTGATGAACAAAAGCTTAAGAGATTTCTCATGTAGTTCTACTACATAATATATGTCAGTAAACAATGATCCCACTCGTGAATGTTCGAATCTTCTATGTGTCAAACTGGTTTTGTTGTAAGTGACTAAATGAACTACTGAACATCTTCACACTAAACATTAGCGGCCTTTAGCTTAGCAGCCATGCGACCGTGAAGTGGTTAATTTATAGCCTAACGTTAGCTTTTTTTTACTTCAAGAATTATAAAGTGGTGTTAATGTGTGGAGATTATCACGCCGGACAAAATATGGTACATATATCATTAATGAGTGTTTGCTACAGGTCTTATTTTATGCAATATTTAACAGGGGGAGACGAGGACAAAGAACTCTGACAAGAAGTGAACAGGGGACGTTGGTTGAAGGTAACCCTATCCATTAAGCCACTAGATTCCCTGAATTTATTTTATCTGAAAGGGGAAGACTGTTAAAGTAGAAGATGTGATGGATAGTTTGATCTAATCATTACATGCATTTTAAGAAAAGGCAGAATGGCTTGATGTTATGGAAAATGTGTTAGTCGTGTCTGAAAGTGATGGCTCTGATTGTATTACACTGTCACATTAGTGATTCCCTCTGAAGGCCCTGTGTTTCACCCACCAGCCATCCATCATGAGAAAATGGTGGGTGGTGAACTCATGGCAACAGATAAAGGAGGATATCAGATTAGCCACCACCTCTCTGTGTAAAGCAGAACACCATGCAAATATGAGGAGTCTAATTTCAGACAGAGACCGTTTGGAAATGGGAATTCTCCTCTGACAAAATGATAGCAGGCGTAATGAGAGAAGGTAATGAGAAAAAGTATAATGACAATAATACAATAAGTAATGAGAGAATCGAAGAGCAATGGAACTAATCGTCGAGGGAAATCATCATGTTATTAGCTTATTTTATGACCTTTATACAAGATGTTAACATAAATGAGATATGATAAAATAATTAACTGAGTAATGAGCTGCAGGTAACATGTTTTATGGGTTTTCGATTAATGTTTCCCCATCTGACGTGAAACTGATTCAAAGTTATTGAGTATGGGCTTTTGAAAATGTGGCTGTGGAACCCTGATAGGCAAAATACTTCAGCCGATCATTAGCCAATCATTTTACTCTGTTGTAAATGTTATTAACTTGTTTTGTACAGTTTAAGTGGTGGAGAAAACATCATTATTTTCCACCAGTTAAAACATATATTTAAAACCCTGAAGTCTTTGCTCTTTCAATGCCCTTCTAGTTCCTTAGTTAGGAATGTGTGATAGTCTGTCATTTTGAGCCTACTATTTTTATTTGGTTCTTCCTTGGCCCATACAGTCTTCCATCAAGTTTCCTGAACATTGGGCCATTAGTTTTCCATAACTATTACCTCCTTAGAGGAGTCAATTATTTTGTTGGAGCATTTCAAATCACATTTTCTATATTAGATGATGTTTGAGCATGGAATATAATCTTAGTTAGTGGTGTAATTTCATGTTGTGGAAAATACTAGGGTGTTATGAGTTGCTCTGGTCATTGGTTTGGTCAGTATTTGCAAAATCGTACTCATCTCTGAAGTCATTGCAGAGATCTCGGAAATAGGCTACATTGCTTAATATAGGTCTGCCGCTTTTAACTCTTCTGGGCTCACAAGGGTCACAAGGGTTTGAATTGGGTAATATTTTTTCGACTAATTTTTGCATTTACAAATCACATGGAATTTGTGTTGAAACAGGGATGAATTAAATGACATGCTTCTTCAATGTACATTTTACATTTGGTTCGGATTAATTAATAATCGAAACCGATTTCGAACCGAAGTCGATTTAAAAAAAGTCTTCCGTCCACACGGAATCGGCTCAAGAAATGTGTCCGTCCAAACAAAACTGCTCGAAACCGCTGGAGAAGCTGTAGTACATATGCTGACCCCCGTAACACAGATAAGGTGAAGACTTGGCCAGTTCCACGGTCCGCCACAGAGGTGCGTGCTTTTCTGGGTCTCTGCTCATATTATAGGAGGTTTGTGAGGAGTTTTGCCCAGCGTGCTGACCCCCTCAACCATCTGACGGGAAAGGATGTCCCTTTTCAGTGGACGGCGGATTGCCAGGGGGCATTTGAGTTTGTGCAGCATGTTAGGTGTGAAGAAGACGCACACCACGCCTTACAATCCGAAGTCTGATGGCATGGTAGAGAGGTTTTTACTATATGCTTTTCATTCATAATTTTAGCGGGAGGGAGGGGGAGCAGCGCTGAGGAACAGCAGAGTGCGGGTTGATAGGTGTCTGTGTTGACATTCCCCTTATTGTGCGTCAGCAGAGGCTACAAGTGTCTTAGCTAGGTTCAAGTTAGACAACTAATGTCTGGGTTAGTGTTCATGACTTCATGTTTATGTCATCTTAATGGTTAATCTTAATACACAAACATGTTCCGTGCTTTCCAATAGTTTAAAAATAGTTGTATTCCACTGTTAAATAACCTGTTCAATACAAACATGCCACTTTAAAAATTAAATTAAATGTCTGTGAACTGATATTTGCTTAGTGAGCTTATTAGAGGATGTTCCCTGAAAGATTGTAAAATGTCAATGAAGATGTCAGACTTAGTATATGTGTTAATAATTACATACAATACATGGAATTTGTGTGTTCCAAGTGAATCTGCGGCCCCCTGGTGGCCAGTACATAAATTACACTGAACAAAAATATAAATGCAACACTTTTGTTTTTGCTCCCATTTTTCATGAGATGAACTCAATGATCTAAAACATTTTCTATATACACAAAATAACCATTTATCTCAAATATTGTTCACAAATCTGAAAAAATGTGTGATAGTGAGCACTTCTCCTTTGCCGAGATAATCCATCCCACCTCACAGGTGTGGCATATCAAGATGCTGATTAGACAGCATGATTATTGCACAGGT